GATATCCCAACTTGCTCTCCATGAGACACAGACAGGGATAGAAGCTTGGGGTCAGAGCGTGGGGTCAGAGCGCAGGGTCAGCCATTTATACAGCGCCCCTGGAGCAGCTGGGGTTAAGGGCCTTGCTCAGTGGCCCAACGGAGTGAGATTCCTCTGCTGGCCACGGGATACTAACCAGCAACCTTCCAGCCACAGGCGCAGATCCATAGCCACAGAGCAACTGCACCACCCCAAAGGCTGAAAATATATAAGTACAGTAGATAAATAGTACAGTATACAAAGGGTAAAAGGTTTATAATAGGCAAATATGATTTCAGGGCACACTAATCTGAACCATCATGTAATCTTCTTTATAGGAAGTTCTTATTTTTCATCAGGTGCGTATTTTGGCTCATGATCTGTTAATGCTACTGAACTATTGAACTTCAACCAGTAAAGGTAAGAGCATTACAAGATGAGCAGGAACCAGACATTTTTCCTCACTAATCTGTCAGTGCTAGTTCAGCATTGTCCTTGCAGTGGCCATTGAGTGTCAGTACACTAGCATACTTCATTACCAATTTTGTGGTTCCAATCATTGTGAAGAATTAGTTCTTGTCTGTTATAGAAAAGAAACCAGTTTTCAGCCTTCTGTCTCTCTGTTGTATTGCTACACCAAGGCCATCTATGTGCTGAAAATAAGACTCCTCTATACTTTCTCTCAGCCTTAAGGAGACTGGGTCTCTGATACTGTATCAAGAGTATATTCAAATGAAATTTGCACAATCAGTGGGAGATACAGAGGTTTTAAATGCTGACTGACTCTCATGGTATGCTATTTTTCTGACACTTCATTTCCACAGATCTGACAGGGTTTTCTGACAAGCTGTCTGGGCTATTGTCGTTTGTATGCACAGACCGGATCCCATGTCATCTTATCAAATTTAAACTATTCCCATAGCCCAGGGAAAGGAAACGTAAGCTAGACGGAATTTTCAATTACACATCATGCTCTTTCTGATGTAATGAAATGGATAGTTGTAAAAAGTTAGCACTCCCTGCATCTCTGTGGGTATCCTTGCTGTACTGTGTGTTCTTCAGTCTTAGCAATGATGAGTTATTATGACATGCTATTTGTGAAGGAAACAGGCTGCCTATGTAAATGAAGATCATCATACCCAAATTATTATAAAATCTGAAGAATCAACCCTCCATATAAACTTTCTCTTTATAGTACCATTTTGTAGTAAGCACTATTTGTTAAGGAAACAGGCTGCCTATGTAAATGAAGATCATCATACCCAAATTATTATAAAATCTGAAGAATCAACCCTCTATATAAACTTTCTCTTTATAGTAACATTTTGTAGTAAGCACTATCTCATTTTATTTTTTAAAGGCGAAAAGAACAAGTAAAAGAGGGAATTATTCAATGCCTGAATGTTGGATTTAAATAAAACATAATTCTAAACAATCAAACAGAAATCTAAATATATGACCAATTGTTGGCTCAGAAATCAAGGTTGACTTTCAAAGTCAACAAATATGTCTTCTTATCTGCATGATTGTTAGACTCTTATTTATCATTTAAGTACCCAACAGAGAACTGACATATTTAATTTAAATTAGCTTCTGTTTAAGCACATGGAATACAGTTTGCTTTCATATGCAATTCACTGTTACACTGCGAACGTTGTGTCCCAGTGTACTCAATGCTAAGGACAGTGCTCCCAAATTTGCCATTTAACCAAAGATAAAAGACAAAAAATATCAAAAACTCCAACATAAACACAAAAGATTGGTATTGAAGTACGTTGAGCAATCCAAGTCCTCCTGAGTGATGATTCTGTGACCAATATTGTGTCATGGGTTCGAGCATACTGCTTGTCATATCACAAACTAACTGTTTCCCCAAATATGAGTGCACTGCCTAGAATGGTGCTAAGGTTCTCTTGGCTCTTAGCAAACCCTATGGCCTCCTTCTTTTGGGCATGTGATGCTCAACCTCTGGTACATGGCTGGGTTGCCTTTGACACCTTAAAAAATGAGTGGCTCAAAAGTGGATGTGGGTTGTAAGATCCTACCTTTCCTCATTTTCTCATTCTCCTTATGTGTGCAGTCAAAGAGGCAAGAGCCAAGATCTAAAAAATACTCAAACAGCGATTTCAAATCAAGTGGGTATGACAAGAACGTTACTGATGATTCTTAATGAGAAAACACAATACAAACAAGGAACACTTCATGTAAGGATGATAAAACCAATGTTCTCAATAATTCAAAAACAAATATGGAAATAAAATAATATAGAGACTATGGTTGACGTAATTTACGTTTACTTAATATGTACAGAACTCTAAAAAGAGAGGAATTTGAAGAATCTTACAGATACCATAAAGAAAAATCTACAGAGGCATTAAATATACTGTACAGCAAATGAGCACTGGAACCAATAGCATTTTTTTATGTTTTAATGCTGTCCTCTGTACATAGCAAGTTTACTTCGTGTAAGGGACACAATGTCTTGTTCTCAGTTGTTATAGTGTCAGCAGCATGGTGACCTGGCTGTCTCACAGCTCCCTCCCAACTCTGTGGTCTAACCAGATGTGTCTTAGGTGCTGAGATTGCATGCAGCCCCTGTGTTCATGTCAGTTTTCTCTAAGTGCTCTAGTTTGATTCTGCAATCTAATTGCAGACAAGCAAATACAGACAAGCTAACTGATGTCTCAGAAGTCACCCTGTGATAAACCGGCATCCCATACAGGGTGTAATATGCCTGCCTGCTTGCTTAGGGATCCTTTCAGCTCACTGGAGCCCAGTAAGGATAAAACAGTTACCGAAGATAGATGGATAGCTAAAGTGTGGAAAACAGATCCAGAAAACAAAGAAATACTTTTTTTCCTAGTTAAAGAGAAGTCTTGGTTAAATTCTTTAATAGTTATTTCAATGGCTTCACCCAGACATTTTAATGGTGAAAAAAATATATTATTATTTCAAGAATTAATGTACAAAACTAACAGCTAATTAATCTGAAGACACTGAAACATTGAAGATGCACAATCATAGCTGAGCATTAAACTGTGGTGACATTATACAGTATATACTGTATATACTACTGTATACGTATACTGTAGTGCAGTACAGAGGAAATTTGGGATATCATGATGTGGAGAATGGTGGGAATTGTGAAGATCTGTGACATAGAATAAAACATAACAATAAACGCTCACAGTGACAAATACAGTAGGCACCTGATGCTTAGCTAGACATTTTACTGTCATTTGGCAGAATAACAAACGTGTTGCGTGCAAATCCAAATCGATCTTAAGAGTGCTGGAATGGGGAGGCAAAGGAAAGGATTTTCAAATATGTATTTAGTGAAAATTCTCTTCCTTAGATTTCCAATGTACTTGGATAAGCAATCCCTGCACTCATTGGGAGTTCTTGCCTAGATGGCTGAAACATTGGTTATTTTAATCAATTCTAAAGGAAGCTTCATTACAAAGTGAAAGTTTGCATCACCCCCTTTCCCTTGTGGATGTTTAGGTTCAAATATCACTGATATTTATTACTTTTGCGTGGAAAGACTTTTCAATAAATGTCACGTATTTAAAGATGAAGGTTTAAATCTTGTGATAAAGCACATACAGTACTGCCAGAGCAGAGATTCATTGTCAAGCCAAAATGTCCATTCACTCAACCCCTAATGCCAGTAGACTTGTAGGGTGGGTTCAAATGCATTTTTTATGATTGTAATCTGCTATTCAAAGTGAGATCTGCTAATCAGTCCTCTACCAGAAATCTCAATTTGAACAATGCTTGAAAATGCGTGTTTGAATACTTCTAGTGGGGATTTTGAATGCTCTTTGGAAGACTTGCTGTAACAGGCTTCTATTTTATGCTGTTGGAACTGTTTTAGTAGACTCATACTGTATATGCATACACTTTCTCTTTTATCTTTAGTTGTTTAATTATTATGGACAAAATATTCATGCAAAGGCTTTATTTTTTCAGTTATAACCTTTTTACAGTAAATAAAAAATACCCCTGTCAGGCATCATAAACAGCAAAAAGCATTTTCAGGGCTTTGTTATGCCAGTATACTTTTGTAAGTAATGTTTTCCTTAGATGCACCAGTTTTCTGTGCTGGAAGTTTTCATGCCAAAGATCCTACTAGTGCTAGTTTATTTCTTGGCATTATCTTTTTATACCAGACACTGCAGCTCTTTTTTCACAGATTGCAACATTTTTATTCAAATTATGCTCATTTAAATTCTGGATTCCTTAGTGTGTGACAGTGTTATTTTATTAATACCAAACTGCACATACAGTATAATCTGTTTACCAAAGTTACACATATTATACTACTGTGTATCTGAATCCCTGTTCTTTCCTGGAGTTTTTCACTAGACCTGTTTGTTTACAATGCAGTATAACAGTATTTACACAGATCATCCAAAATATGGGATGCATGGACAATAATATTGAATTGTTCTAAAATTAAGATACAGTAAACAGAATAACAATAACTGTTTATTGAATTAAAATTATTGAGTTATTGACTTAAATAAGGGAGAGGTTAGAGTCTGGCCTCCTTCACAACTTCTTTTAAACTTCATTTTACTTATTTGGATAATGCTTTTACCCCCAAAAAGCTTATATTTGTGCACATTTATACAGGTGCATTTTCATGGAACAATTTTTAAGTGAAGTACTGAACCCTGCTCAACGGTACAACAACAGAACCTAGGATTTGACTTAAACACTCCACTCTCATTACATCTACAGTATGTAAGAAATAATGAAAAAATATCAATTTACCCAAACAATTAAAACTCTCCCTTCCATAGCTATCCTACACATACCTGGAGCTTTGTCTCCAGCACTTTTTCATCTCCCATAGCTCATTTATTGTGGTTTCAATACATGTTTTGTTTAGAAATACAGTATTCAGTTTATTTGCTGGATAGGATGGAGAGTAAATCGATGCGAACATCTAAGGATTCTGTTGTTTTGTGTTTCAGGTTCACAAGCGAAGAGTTTCACTGCCTTGAAGTTCTTGCAGGAGCCTGCTGACACAATCACTGTGAGAGGGGGAACTGTGCAGCTGGACTGCATGGCAGAGTCAGATCAAGGCACACCTGTCATTTCCTGGAAGAAGGACAGCGTGTTCTTGAGTGCGGTGGTGGACGAGAGGAGGCAGCAGCTGTCAAATGGGACTCTGATAATCCAGAATGTTGTTCACTCGCGGCATCACCGGCCTGATGAGGGCCTGTACCAGTGCCAAGCTTCTCTGGAAGGGGTGGGAGCCATCGTGAGCAGGACAGCCAAAGTGACTGTATCTGGTGAGTACTAAGGCAAACAGAGGCTTTTATTTTTATTGACTTTAGACAGGAGACAGTATATGGAGTTATCTGAGTGCAAGGAAACAGTGCTGCCCAACAGTTCTTTTCCTGTAGTAACCAGACTTCTTGTTGCAACCCATAAAACAAACATTTCCAATATATCATGCAGGTGGATTCCCAAGTTAAATTTTTAAATAGAATTCGAGATTGGGTGAAAAACAAACAATATTGTGATGAAAGTTTTTTTTAATTATTTGTTTTGTCATTATTGTATTTTGATTTTTTTTTTTGATTTAATTCAAACAGCCATTGAAATGAAGTTGTTTGAGATAAATGGTCTGGAGTCTATACTGTCCCATAATAAGCCACTTCAGATTTTAACTTTTCTTAAACAGTAATTAATGAACGTAGGTGCCATTTCTTTCAATTAATGTTCCAAATCCATGTACTGTACTCAAAGAAATGAAGTGTCTTTCTCACTTGTTAATGTTTATGCTATTTAATTGTCCAACATTCGCTGATTGAGGTGGTGAGCACAGCAGAGAAGATTTTACCTTAGATGTTCTTTGTTTGAATGTGTAGAACTGCTCCTCCATAAAGTTGTTGTTACATGTTTGTGGAACTGTGTACAGTATCTAGAGTCCCCTTGGGATTTCAAAACTACTTCATATTATTCACTTGATCTGAGAAGTTCTTCTGTTTTTTGGATGACATTACATCCTCTGTGATGTGTCACTGAAGACATACAGAAGATAAGGAGCTTTCTGCTGAGACAAGACTGTAGAGCAAATGCTGTAATGAACAGCAGACACTATTAATTGGTGTTTAAATAAAACATGCAGGCATTAATTGTGAGGAACAGAAACCTGTGTTAATACAAAATAGATGAGTTTGCCTTCTTTACCTTGGAAACTTGTTGATCCCAGGGAGATTTTAGTGTTCTGTCATGTTTTACCTTTCTCCTCCCTTGTTGGATCATAATAGTGATTGACTTCACTGTAATTATAAAACTTCTGTAGTGCCCACTTCAGGTGATTTTTCTGCATGCCATACACACAGAGAACATTACAATGTTTCATTACATACAGTAATTACATACAGTACAACAGAGAAATGCTCAGAACGTGTATCGTCATTGATTAACATTAATATCTTGATATTCAGAACAGTCTCAGAGGCGAAACAACAATCATGACTACATCGTTGTTCTCAAGGAGTACAATTGATCACATTCTGTACATTTCACTTTCTGGTGTTGATGAAAACAGTGGTGTGTTCCTTATTTTTTTTAAGTATAACTTATCCATTTTAATGGAAGTGGATGAACACACTAACATCAATTTGTGAAACTGGCAACTAGTTCATAGTTGAGGGCGGAGCAGTGGCTCTGTGGCTATGGATCTGCCCCTGTGGCTGGAAGGTTGCCGGTTCAAATCCCACTGAGGAATTTTACTCCATTGGGCTCCTGAGCAAAGCCCTTAACCCCAGTTGCTCCAGAGGCAATGTACAATGGCTGACCCTGCGCTCTGACCCCAAGCTTCTCTCCCTGTCTGTGTGTCTCATGAAGAGCAAGCTGGGGTATGTGAAAAGATGAATTCCTAATGCAAGAAATTGTATGTGACCAATAAAGTGTTCTTATCTTATATATTGTATACTAAAAGACGACTGCATCTAGGAACACAGCGCTTTAGTTTCAAGTTGGTCCAAATATTTTTGTTCCGACACATTTATCAGTCCAAGAGGTCTAGGGGAAATGATTTAACATCAAAAAGGCTATGTTTCTCATTGCCAAACCATGGAAACTGCTAATCAATGGCAAAGAACGCAATCACCCATGAGTCTCTTTCAAGCTTTGCCATTTGGCAGCTTATCTTTTCTTTTTTAGAAGGCACCAGTGCCTTATTGTGACTGATTTCACACTAGACTTGTTTGGAGCCAGAAGGTTTGTTAAAGACACAAGTGCAAACTTAATGCATGAATATCATTACAACTGTTGTACTTCAGGAGGCTGTTATTCTTTTTTATACAGAAATACAATTCTAGGGTTGTCATCTACTGAGTGTTTTGCCGTTTTGGTTTAACCTTTTATTACATCCTGATGTATCTGCATTTTGTTGAAAACAAAATACCCTTACATCTTTCTGGATTTGTAGAGAGGAACAAATGTACTGTAGTAGAGGACAGGGCACACCTTACTTGTGAGTCAATTAGATGTGATTAAAAATGTCTAAAATCACATCTAAAAATTAAAAAATTAAAAATTTAAGTTGTAACTCCTGGTTGTCTCTAATGTCTAAGACTTTGCATAGCATTATGTTAATATGTGCTTATAATCTTCAAGATGTAGTAGATAATATTTCGAAATAGTGTACGTGCAAATCATGTCATACAGGTACGTCTGGATTCAATATTGCTGACAGTGATATTTAAAAATCCCTTTGATACGCTGATATTTAAAAACATCATGAGAATGCATTGTAGACAAAGGAAGCTTTGAATTTGGATGAACGTTTAAAGCAACTGTGTCACATGTGCTGTGTACTGAAATTTTGTACATATAAAAATTGGAGCTTATAGTACACAAAAGGGGACACTAACTCCATCAGTATCCATTAAATGATGGTGACCATAATGAGCCAGCTCAGTGCTCTTAGAAGTATTTATGCAGGCCGAGGTTTTCTTAAAAGGACATAAATCTTAAAGGGACATAAATGTTTTCAAACAGAGGAACCTCATCCTTACCAAGAACCATGGGAGTGCGCGTATTCTTTCTTGGGCTGCTTTGCTGCCACAGGAAATACAGTAGACAGCTTGCCGTCATTGATGGAACCATGAATTTCATGTCGTATTGGCAAATTCTGCAGGCGAATATCAGACCATCCCATTCATCCATTCAGCTGAACTTGAGAAGAAATTATTAATTCTGGGAGGAAGCACGGCCAAAATTCTTAAAAAATGATGAGAGAGACTGATGAACACTTACAAGAACTGTCTAGCCGAAGACTGAAGGAGGTGCCACCAGTTATTGAATTTAAGGGTTGACATACTTATTCGTATGAGGATATTTACTGTTGGATAACTTTATTCATTGAATAATTTGAAACAATCTTATGTCTTTGTGCTATACATTTTATCCGGTTGTCCTCATCTTTTATTAAGACTTTCCTGAAGATCTAATTACTGCACACGTGAAGTCTAAAATACACAACAATACAGATCAACCTAGGGGGGTTCACATACTTTTCTCGGCACTGAAACCCCAGCTGTGTTGCCCATTGAGTTGTAGACAGCATCTGTGGAATAAATAAATGTGCTGCTGCAGACCTTCTGCCGTATTGGCAGGACTAAAATGCTTAGGGTCAACGGGAGGTTCTGCAAATAAAGACAAAATAAGTCAGCCCTTGGGAATGCTCAGGCATTGCACATGGTGTATGAAAGAGCACAGGAAAATTAATTGTGAGTGGTTAGACTACCTATTCTTATCCGCATTGAAAAGGATGTGTACCTTGTAACATGCTAAACTGACCTGGATACAACCTTAAGGTTGTAACTGTCAACAGGTACTGTTGGGTCTTGAGGATTTTAGTAGCCGTCTGGAGCTTATGTTCCTTTTACATAATTAAGTCAACCTTATATACAGTACAGTGAAGTTCTGATGGATAAGTAACAGTATATAAAATACATAATGCAGAGAAAGACTTTGAAAATTGACTTATGGAGCTGTAGCTGGAAACAAATACAATGACAAATGAAGTTTGGAATATGGTACATTGAATCTGATTGCATGCCCTTAAGGCATTAGCTCTCTGATATACAGTACAAACAAAAGCAAAACCATAATTTTAGGGACACCACAATTGTTTCATTTTTATACATATTTGCATTTGTCTCTGAAAGCAGTGCAGACAAAATTGAACTTGACAACTGTTTGTTCTGTACAAAAATTAGCTTTTTTTTTTTACAATAAGTCATTTTGCTATAAAGCGTGGATTGTGAACATCCCGCATCAGCTATTTCATTATGTGCCGTGTTGCTGATTCTTTTATTCTTTTGAAGAAAAAAACAAACACAAAATGCAGCAGAAAGATAATAAATCAACGAATTGTTTTTTTTGTGCAAGACTACCTTGGGGATTCATAAATGTGGCATGTTTGGCTTTGGAGCAAAGACACTTCAGCTCTATTGATTCTAGAAAAGGAACATACAGTACCTGTATGTGAAATATGACATAAAACTGAAGTATTGGACTTGAATTGTTTGGGAGAGATGATAAAATCACCTTTGTACCCTCACATGTTGTGAATTTGTGGATCACTTACAGCATGCCTCCTTTTGTCTTAGATCCATTCACAGCCCTGTGGGAGAATAGCATGCAGTCCTATGGCCTTTTGAAGAATTCTTTGCGTGATAGAGAATTCTTACCCTACTAGAGTCCAAATAAAGTTGTCACCAGAAGTTTTTGAGTTATGGAAATCAACTACTGTATTCATCCACCCACTCCTTTTCCAACTGCTTTATCCAACATAGGGTTGCAAAACAGCCAGAGCCTATCCCGGCAAGCAACAGGCAGAAGGAATGGGACTCCATTCCATTGCAGAATTTACTGTTCATACATATTTATCAATTCAGGCGAAACCACACTGGAATGCTAATGTTATCAAAACACTAATCCTCTCCCATATAAAAAGGAATAATAGTGCTTTTGAGGATGTAATTGTATTTTCTTTTTTATTATTTGAAGTTGAAAGCTATATAGGTCTCTAAAATCACATTGTGCACTTTTATTCTGAAGCCCTTTGATACTTTAAATTATTTTTATTTGCAATCCATTTTCAGACCTTTCTGTAATTGTGAATGCAGCTACCCTATTCAGCACATTCACAATGTTTTTCTTAGTTTGCCTAGCAGGCGTTTAGAAAATTATCGAGGACAGCAGGCCATGAAAATTATTTTACCTCAGATTTGTACTTGAATGAATCCAGCCTCATTATAACAATAAA